CTGGGGAATTCTGGGAGTTGAAGTCCTCACGTCTTAAAGTTGTCAAGGTTGAGAAACACTGGCAGAGAGAGAGTCCTGAGGACCAGAATCTTAGCTTATTTTTAGGGGACAGGCCACAGTCAAGGGTTTCAGCATCCTGGAGGGTTTGGGTGGTTGGCAGAACCCTGCTCTCTGAGTGTCTCGCCTACCTTTGGGGAGGGAATGCAGCCAGCAAGAACGGGGATGGTGCTCTGGGTTCAAGAGCGAGGCTCCCTCCCAGTTAACGGCAGCCCTTCTCGTGCGTTGCTGCCCGTGAACGCAGGCAGCTCTTTGGACCTTCCCCGCCGCTGAGCTGAAAGGCTGGCTGTCCGTCGGGAAGAAACTCGGCCAGCAGGAACCCTCGGATCGTAGGGTTGGAAGGGACCCCCGAGGTCATCCAGCCCACTGCCCTGCCAGGTGCACTCCGCCATCCCCAGGGACTGTCCAGCCTGTTTGAAAACCTCCAGGGAAGGGGCCACTCCTTGGGGTACCCTGTGCCACTGGTGGGCAACTCTCCTGGGCAGAAGGTCTTCCTCGTGTCTAACCTGTATCTTCAACCTGGAAGTTTCATCCCAGTCATTCTAGCCAGACATTCTCATGAGCAGCTGAGGGGAAGTCCAAACCCCCTGCCATGTCACGGCCCTTCGGGTGTTTGAAGACAACTCTCGTGTCCCCCTCGACCTGCTTCCCTGCAAGCTCCACATCCCAAGGTCTTTTCACCGCCGTGCCTCGTAGGACTCGGTTCCCTGTCCTTCCACCATCTTGGTAGCCCTTCTCTGGACTTGCTCCGGTTTATCAACGTCGTGAGATTCCCTGTCCCCACGGCTGCCCCTCCCCTGCCTCGGTCCCCAGTCTCCAGACCCCCGGTGTCCCTCGAGACAGCGAGGGAGGCAGCTGAGCTGACGTTGCGCGCCTCGGGCATCGTCAGAAGGGGCCACAGAAATGGCAGCCAAAGAAATTGCAGGCAGGATTGAAGAGAGGAGGAGGGGGCACACAGCAACACCTAGTTTACACCGATCCCACTCCCTCTCCCTCCCCACAACTTCCTCTCCTTGTTCCCCCGTCTCAGTTGTGCAGCCACGGCCACCATCTTGACTTTTTTGGATGCCCCCTTGCAGGTGCCCCTGGAAGCTGCCGCAATGCCAGCCCAGATAAGGGTGCCTGAAGCCTCTTCCCTGTGGGTGGTGTGGCGGGGGCCAAAAGGAGGGGCTCCCACATTTATGCCCTGGTTAGGGGCGAGGAGGGAAAGGCCCGTTGGGTCTCCAGCCGTGTCCGGGACTTTCCACCACGGAGGGAGCGCTGTGAGCCTCTTTCCTTCTGAGGAGTTGGGGGAAAGAAAGAGGCATGTGAGGAACACAGAGCCCATCTTCCAGTGCCGACACCTGCCACCTTCCTCTGGCGGGTTCCCCCTCCCCAAGGTCCTCACGGGCGATCAGGGAGGGAAACGGTGGTCATCTTTACCTCTTCCCTCCCGGCCATTTTCCGAGCCAGGAGCCAAGATGTTCCTGTTTGGAATGGAGAGAGACCTGTTTGCCCCACTTTCTGCTGATGCCCATGGCGGAAACGACATTACGTTTCGTCCTACTGTGGAGCATCTTCTTAGCCCAGGAAGGAAGCCAGGAGGGGGGGGACAGTCTGACCGGGCAAAGGCGGGAGTCCCAGGGCCCATTTCTTCTCCCCAGGAGTACACAGCCTGGCACGGCTGTGAAATGCTGCCACTTAGCCCGGTCTGGTGTGCAGCGGAGAGGGCGGCCTGCGTTCAGAACAAAGGCACCCCGGGCTGTAATCCCCAGCTGTGTGTGGACACAAGGGCGGGCCCCGAGGCTCAGACCCTCCTGCGCACTGTGGTTTGAGGGTGTTGCACAGGCTTTCCTTCCAGTGGGGCAGGATCGGGGGCTGCCTCCCCGGAGTCCTCACCTTGATCCCTTGGGAGCTCAGCTGGGCACAGGCGGTCAGCGAAGCTGGCCCTCTGGCTTGCCCTTCACTTACACACTTGGGAAACCAGGGGTCCTGGCCATCAGTCTCTCTCGAGGTGTTCGGCAGCCATCTTCCTGGAACTGGGGTGCGTGCGAGATGTTTGACTACCGAGCCCATCCTCCTCAGCTAGGGGGATTGTAATCCAAGCACACCTGGAATGTCCCAAACCAGGGCAGGTTGCTGCTGCTGGCAGAGACCAGCTTCTCAAGTGGGAGTCCTTCCGAGCCTTCGGGGGGTTGAACCCGGGGCCTTCCTCACACCTGGCGGAGGGTGGGCTGCTGTGCCCCCCTTTCCCCCCCGGCAGCTGGGCACCATGGCCCCTCTCAGCTCATCCAGCACCGGTTCTTCTTCGGTGGCCCTGCTCGAGCCCCGGGTCCCCTCCCTCCCTCCCTCCC